GATCCCGGGACTCCAGGATCATGACCTGAGCCGAAGGCAGTTGCTTAACCAACTGAGCCACCCAGGCGCCCCGAGAGAAACTCTATTCTTGTTCGTAGAATGATACTAATGTACTTTTAAATTGTAAGAAAATAAGTGAAAATTTTTCATTTTAGATACCTAATAGGCTGGATTTGAAAAAAGAAGATTGGATTTAGTGAATAGTATCCTATGCTTTGATCTACCTTGAGCTTATAATGGGAGCTGATATTCCTAACTTAGAAAATGTTGGCTGGAATGTTACAGCATTTAAACACAAGTTTATGTGGGTAGGAATTGGGTAAGGTAGGAAAGTTTGGAAATTGTTCCAGTTAAGCTGGGATGAGTAAGTTTAGGCATGGTTTTTCACTTTATTTTCTGTAACATCACCAAAAAACACCTCATTTTCTTCCTTGTTCATAAGAAAACTCAAATGACAAGTAATAAAAAACTTTTAAATATTTTGAAAATGACTTAATTTTTAATTTACAGTTGGCTTTTTGAAACCTGTATTGTACTTGCATTAAGGTTTATAGATTTCACATTACACTACATACGTACTTAGTTATAAATAGATGCAGTTACAGACATCTCAACTATCTGTAGATATAGCAAGGTTTTTACTTCACTGTACATTTTGAAATTTTTCAGTAGTTCTGCATTTCTAATTATGGGTGGCTTATTGGTGACCTATTTGTAGAATAGAAGACTAGTTGTATTCTCTGCTCCTGAGATGGCCTGAACTTGCTTACGTGTGTTGCTCAATTAATATTTGTTAAATAGATAAATAACCAGTACTTGTACAGTAAACTGAGAATTGGCTGTTTGGAAGATGTGAGCTTTTTCAAAAAATCTTGATTAAAATCATTGTAAAAGTTTAAGGATACTGATTTTTATAACTTGTTTTTGAATAGTAAGTTTTTTAGGTATGTTAAGTATTTTTGATTAACTGTCTGAAGGGAGTATTTTTAACAAAATATTCTTAAAATAATTTTTATTTAGTGGCATTGTTAAATTTTACATTTCTGCAGGCATAGTTAATCACAATATTCTTTGAAGAATTAATGTTGAAATTTAATTGCTTAGGTGAATTTGATTATACCAGTTTTAATTTTCAGATACATCTTGAAAATGTTAATAAAAAATTGAAGAAAATCGTGCAAAAAGCTTATGTGATAAAATAAAATTTTATGGAACATTCCCAGTGTAACAATACATGAGCACATGTATTTTGATGAGATTATCAGATTATTTCATCATTTGTTTATAGGCGTATTCTCCATTCTAAAGGGGAGCTAAGTGAAGATAGACATAAACAGTATGAGGAATTTGCTATGTCATATCAGAAGCTGCTGGCAAATTCTCAGTCCTTAGCAGACCTCTTGGATGAAAATATGCCAGATCTTCCTCAAGACAAACCAACACCAGAAGGTAAGATAGCCCTAAAAACATAGAGATTTTTCAATAAGCACTGCCACTTATCTTTACTTTGTCAGATATGTATTATTGAAAATTAAGTTTTAAACATGCCTTTAAGGGGTTTTAAATGAAGAAGTAGTACTAAGCACTATCACGTATCTTTACTTTGTCAGGTGTATATTATTGAAAATTTAAGTTTTTACATGCCTTTAAAGTGTTTTAAATGAAGAAGTAGTATTAAGACCTAATAAGAACTTCGAAAAGCTAGTATCTGAAATACTCCTATGAATGGAAAAGGCTTTGCACTTAGAGAACAGTAATTAACTCATGTGATCTTAAGGTGCAGTCCTTCAGGTTCTTTTATATTAGGTATCTTTGAATTATATCCAACAGGGGCCTTTTTTTTTTTTTTTTAAGATTTTATTTATTAGAGCAAGCATGATGGGCGGGCAGGGAGGAACAGGGCAGGAGGGAGAGGGAGGAAAGAATCTAAGAATCTCAAGCAGACTCTGTGCTGAGTGTGGAGCCCGGTCACTGAGCTAGATCCCATAACCCTGAGATCATGACCTGAGCCGAAACCAAGAGTTGGACACTTAACCAACCGAGCCACCCAAGTGCTTCCAAACAGGGGCCTGTCTTAAACCATACTTGGGGTTATAAAAAGATTCACTCTATTTCTCATAAGGTGGATTGGATCTTTGGGATTCTAATATTTTTATATGCTTATTTTTAATCTGTTTTGAATGATACGATATCCTAAATTGTTATTTAGAACTAAAACTTTACCTTGCGGTTTTGTGAGATAAATTGTTTATCATTCTGTGAGATGAGTTATTTTCCATACTATTTCAAAGATTTTTTTTTTTTTTTAAAGATTTTACTTATTTATTTGAGAGAGAGGGAGCACATGAAAGGGGGGAGGGTCAGAGGGAGAAGCAGACTCCCTGCTGAGCAGGGAGCCCGATGCGGGACTCGATCCCGGGACTCCAGGATCATGACCTGAGCCGAAGGCAGTCACTTAACCAACTGAGCCACCCAGGCGCCCCTATTTCAAAGATGTTTTAAAGTTCCGTTTGATTGTCCTTAAGTTGGTAGGGCTCCTAATACATTAATCTGTCACATCAACTACTTTATATAATAATTTATGTTGGTAGATGTGTTAATGTGTTATTAATCTTCAAGCTATCTGGCTGGCAATCCTGTTTACTTAAAAATTTTAAGAATAAAGTATTTGTAAGGTATCCTTTTATAATACAAGAAGATATTTTGTATTTTACATCTCAGTAAGAAACACCTATTGTATAGTGTGAGTGCGTTTATTTTATTTATATATAATCATGTATATAATTCCTCCTAATTTTTATATCCCTTCATCAGTGAACCTCAGACTTTTTGGTTTTTTAAAAGAAGTTCCACTGTAGAATTTGTGTTTGTTTTATTCTGGCAGGTTTCTTGAACATTTTCAGTATATTTATTATATTTTAGAACTAAAATCTTTGATACTGTTTAGCATTGATTTGGTATTATTTCTACTGAAACTTAAGGTAGTCTTCTTTTAATGGTAAATGACTTGAAAGTATTTGTAGGCATTTTCCAGAGATAATAGGTCAACATAAAATTCTGTCATTTTTAAAAGATATTTTCACCAGGTATAGAATTTTAGGGTGACATTTTTTTCTTTCAATACTTTTTTTTACATATGGTATATTTTTCCTCTGCTTGCTTTAAAATTTCTTAATTTTGATGTGGCTTGGTGTGGTTTTTCTTTGGTGCTTGGGTTCATTGGACTTCCTGAATCTTTGAGTTTATAATTTTTGTCAAATTTGGAAAATCTTGACTCTGGTTTCTTCAAATATATTTTCTATTACTCTTCTACCTGCTATGGAGATTTAATTATAACTATGTTAGGTGGTATGAAGTTGTTCTTTTTATTCTTTAATACTTTTTTCTCTGTGTTTTGTATTGGATAGTTTCTACTGCCGTATCTTCAAATTCATTAGTCTTTCCTTTTATAGTGTATAATATACTATTAATCTTTTTTTAAAGATTTATTTATTTTAGAGAGAGAAAGCACAAACAGGAGGGACAGAGGGAGAGGGAGAGAGAATCTCAAGCAGACTCTGCGCTGATCACAGAGCCTGACGTGGTGCTTGATCTCACAACCCTGAAATAATGACCCGAGCTGAAACCAAGAGTCCGATGATCAACTGACTGCGCCACCCAGGCACCCCTATATTATTAATATTATATAGAAATGTAATTTTTATCTCTCAAAGCTGGTTTTATTTTCCATGGTCTCAAACATGCTTAGTCTATCTCCTAGTTTGTTGAGTATATGAAATATAGTTAGAATATCTGTTTTAATGTCCTTGTCTACTAATTTTATCATGTATGTCATTTCTGCATTTTTTTTTTAAGATTTTATTTATTTATTTGACGGAGAGAGACACAGTGAGAGAGGGAGCACAAGCAGAGGGAGTGGGAGAGGGAGAAGCAGGCCTCCTGCAGAGCAGGGAGCCTGATGCGAGGCTTGATCCCAGGACACTGGGATCATGACCTGAGCCAGACATCCCTTCTGCATTGGTTTTAATTGATTAAGTAATTGATCTCCTCTACAGCTCTTGTATTTTTTTCTACTTTTTGCATTTTTCATCATGTTTAAATTGGATAACTGCTGGATAGTTGTGTATTCTTAGAAACATCATTGACCTTAATTCTGGGACACAGTTAAGCTACTTGGAAACAGTTTTATCCTTTTCAGGTTGGCTTTGTTAGGTGGGATCAGACCAGCCTTTAGTCTAGGGCTAATTTTCCCTATTACAGAAGCAATATCCTTCTGTACTCCCCTGATTTCCCATGAATTGGAAGATTCATGAGTAGTTATTTTCCCAGTCTCAATTAGTTCCTTTACACATAGGGGCTGATCAGTGTTCCGCTGAACATTCAGGGGGAGTTCTCTGCTGATCTTTAAGGTCTGTTTCTGTGCTTTTCCCTCTCTGGTACTCTGTCCTGCACTATCTAGCCACGTGGGCTAGAATCTTTCCCACACTCTCATCTTCTGTCGTTCTCATCTCACAGAGACTGCTGGGGTCTGCTTCACTTCCCCCTTATTTGGCTGTAGCCTGGAAAATCTATAAGGCAATAAGCTAGAGCAGTTAATTGTAGGGCTCAGGTTTTTTGTTTCTTGTCTCTAGGGATCACTTTCCTGTGCTATCTGATGTGGTGTTCAAAAACTCATATATAT